TCATCCGCCCACCCTTCCTCTTGCTATCTCGTTTGTGCATCACTCCTTACTCTCTTTCTTTATTGTCCCTTCACTTCGAATCCTAGGTACTGTTCTTTTTTCCCTGTAAGTAAAACTCTCAAATTTCAGATTCCCCTTAATGTTGTTAGGCTTTTGATTTTGTTCTTTTGTCTCAAATCTGTTAACACAAAAAAAATTCAAAATACTTTCTTCAAAGGTGGAGAGGATTTGTGGTTATTTTTTGTTTTCATGTTCTAGACTTGATTTGTTGGAATTAATCTTCGTTGATCTACTTCATTTTGATAGATCTCCGTCTACGAACATGAAAAGAAAAAGTCAGTTTTCTTGATTTGGGGAATTTGTTTAGCTCTGACAATTAAGCAATTGATCTTTGTTCAGTTTGAATTGGTCAAAAAACTAAACCGGTTTCAAAATTGTAGTTAAGTTTATTTCTTTTGTTTGCTAAATTTTCATTTGCTAATTCTTTATTATGGGGTTTTCTTTAGGGCTAATCATAACTTGCACGCTTGGACCGGGGTTTTCTTTAGGCACGCTTGGATCGGACATCACATTTAAAGTTTAAAAATATCAATTTACGTCTATGTGCACAAGATTAATTGCCATTCATTTTGCTTTTAAAAAAATTTAGACTAATTATAAATTATACCTTTAAAGTTTAAATATTTTATTTTTATGATCTAAAAAGAATTTCTTCTATTAATGATCATTAAATAGTTGTCAATTGTATTGTATTATAATATTTTTCGTATTATGTTTGAGTCAATAAAAAAAATATTTTTAAAATTTTAAAAAAATTATAAAATACTTATTTTTTGCTTACAATACTTGTTAAGTAGCTATTTTTTTGTCTATAGTTAGACACGAATCTTTTGATTGTTCGATCAAATTAAAATTAGATATCGATAGCACAACTGTAGACAAAAAATAGTTATTGAATGAGTATTGTAGACAAAAAATAAATATTTTTATAATTTATAAAAAAATATTAAATAGTATTATATAAATTTTCGTAAATATGAAATATACAACACAACGTAATTGACTCGACACGAAAATATATAGTGTTAAAAGTATTTTTTTTATCGATTCAAACACAACACGAAAATGATACGACATGACACAAAATAAAATGATAGACACAATTGAGAGAATGCATGTCGTGAATGCTCATTAGACCATTCAAGTTGTGAATGTATGTCGAAATCTGTTTGGGGTCTAATTTTAGGCTTCTCTTAGGCTGAAGGCACGAACAATTACTAATAATCAATATGAGTAATGCTATAAGAATTTAATTTGGAGATCTAATTCAATGCACTCATTGAATTAGTTGTTGTAAGTTATAATGTCAAATGAAACTCACTTTCAATCTAATAATTGCATTGAATTAGGTCTCCATATTTGATTTGCAAATTACATTCAAATAGCATTTCCCATCCAATATTGGTTAAAGCCAACAAGATTCAATTGAAAAATGGTTGAAGAGGTATAAGGTTGAATTTCCAAGTTTTAAATAAAATTTTTTTATAAATAAACAGTACAAAAAGAATTGATTCATTCAGCTAATGAACCAGAATAAAATTAAACTATAAATTTTTTAAAAATATTATGGCATTTTTATGCTTAAAAAGACCATTTTTGCGGGCATGAGAAAAAAAAAAGATTTTTCTTTTATTTTTGGTCATGTCAAGTAATATACCTTCTGAAAAAAAAAACTCAAAGAGTAATTTTTTCCTAGGTAACTGGATAGGTGAGACCGAGAATTACTTAAAAATTCCTAACCTAAATCAATTTTTAGAAGTGGAACCAAATTATAAGTCTTAGCACAATTTTCTAATCGCATGTGAAATCAACACAAAATTATTACGTATGAGTTTGTTCTTACAACCTTTGGATTATATCAGCATTGGCTGACTGGTTGTTCATGGGTCGGGCTGGGTTAGGCCTGAAATTTTTTTCAGTTCAAGCTGAATAATATAAGTCTAAACCCTTACTTAATTGAGTTATCGAACGGCCAGACCAAGCATTGAGTAGAGGTAGGTTATTCGCAGTCCAACCCGTGAGTCCATTGGGTGGGCTTACTTGCAAATTTTTTTATAAACAATTTCATTTAAAAATAATAACTTTTTTTTTTTAATTTATCAAATTATGTGTAGACCATTATAAGGTACTGTCATAATAAAGATGTTCAATGTTATAACGTGGTATCACATAATTTTTTTTTTTTAGTAATTTAAGCATCTAAAATATATTAAACATTACATACGTATTATTTAATACACATACTATCTGCATACAATTGTTTAATAGTATAATTCATAGGAATTGTAAAAATATAGATGATCTTGACTAACTAGTAACTACACATTTTTTAGCAAACAAGTTTGCGCATCTGTTTATTTTTCTTATCACTTGTTTGACCGCACTTTTTATTATATTGTTTCATTACTGTTTTTATGTTCTTTTTATTTGTTTTGTATTTTGTTCATATAAATTAGGGTATTACATGATTGACTATCAATATATATTTGTAATTCCTTATTATTGAATTATTTTACTATTTTTTTATTATCCTTAACTTATATATGTATGCCACGTTCATCTGCTATCTTATTATGTTTTATTTTTTTGATAATAAGTTTATTGAATTTTTTTTGATATTAATTACTTTTTATTGTGAATCTTTTATGAAAATAAATAATTTAATTAGTTGGTATTTTTATATTTAAATGGGAACAAAATCAAATTTAAGAAAAATAGAAAATGTGTTTGATTTATTTTTATTTATAGAAGAGATATGCTTATTATATATTTTTATTAAAGTGTTAATCCTTTTTTTTTGTCATTTAAAATGTGTATGTGTGAGGCGGACTATACTATTTCGACCTAAATTTTAAATTTTATTTTGTTGACTTAATCTTTCAAGTAGGGATGCTCAAATTTTTCCATACCCGACCAATTTCGATCCTACCCAACCAGACTGATTAGCTTCCATAAAAATCACTGGCTAATGAAAGAATTTTTGTTTTTCGGGGAGGAATGCGAAATTTTCACAAAAATTTTGCATTCATATCCGACCCATTCGACCCATGTGCATAATTTTTTTAAAAAATATATACATGTTAATTTGTGCCACAAAAATCCTAAAATTCCTAGCGCATCCTCCTCCTCCTCCTCCGAGTCTCAGAGGCTCTCGCCTCTTTCTTCTTCTTCTTCTCAGTCGATTGATCCCTAGCGCCTCCTCCTCTTCGAGTCTCAGATACTCTCGCCTCTCTCGCCGCCTTTTCTTCGAAGCCACAAGCCACACGCATCCCAGGTTCTCTCTCTCTCTGTATGACAGTCTATGTGTGAGTCTTAATTCCTTTTGTTTTTCTGAAATTGAAATCATATGATGAGAGTTGCAGGAGTTTTTTTTGTTAAGCTAAATTATAATGAGTTTTAATCATTCATCTATATCTCATTATTGAACTCTAAAATTTGGGGCCAGGGTTTAAAGCCCATGCTTTTTGAATATACTGTTGAGCCGGCCGTGTATTATTCCCCGGTGGGTAAAAATTAAGATATTTTAAGTCAGTTGCCTTCATGTGACAGGTAATTACTTCTTAGTAAAATATTCTGTGCGTGTGCGTGTGTGAGTTTCATGAAGGATTCCCACATTCGTTTTTCCAATTTTTATTTCATTTTTCCAATTCTTATTTCATTTTTGTTCTCGATGACATGTCTATTTTAAACAGCTGTGGTTTTGGTTTCTTTGATTGGTTTGCCAAATACTTTGGAATAGTCCAACATATTTCATTGACATCAAAATTTCGAGCTTTATTTTACACATATTACCTCCATATTGAAGTTTGATTAATTAATTTTGCTGCCTAATTTCAAGTTACACAAATCAGTATAATGCCGCGAAAGCCAACAGGCCGGCACCCACTAATGAAGCCTCAGCCTTTCTCCTTCTCACCCTTTGGTCGTTCAGTGGCTCGAGTTGCCTCTGCTTACAAGCTCAAGGGCCAAATGCCTGGCTCCAAATTTCATAGCAAAAATTCCCCCAACACTCCAGGTATTTATTTTTATGAACTTTGCTAAGCTTATTGCTTACGTGAAGTTTCTTGCTCTAATTCTTTGGTATGATCATATTGCACACAATGCATAGTGCTTTTGTTGTTGATTCTTTGTAGATGTGTTTGTGTTGTTCCTAGTTTCAAATGTGTTAAACTCCAGGTAATGGATTTGTAAATCATGCTTTGGAAGATGGAAGTGAAAAGTCTGAATCATCCGAGGAAGAAGGGTTTGAAGTAAGCATAATATCAGTATCAATGCACTCACATTTAAATCACCAAAAGTAGTCTCACAAATCTAACCATTGTCACTTCATTCATATTTAATAATATATAATTGTTGTCAGTTTGTTTTCTTTGTTCTTGAAGGGAGTCATCCAGGCAGATTTTTCCTTCTTTGACCCAAAGCCTGATGACTTTCATGGAGTGAAGCCCCTGCTGGGGGCTTATCTTGATGATAAGCAGTGGGATCTAAGTGGTTTTGTGGACCTGATATTGAGTCAAATCACAGTGGGGACAGTTGTTAAAATAGAGAACAATGAAGATGATGGGCTTTACTCTGTTGTCACTGCTCTAAACTTGGGAAGATATAAGGCAAGAAACATACTCTTTAATGCCCAACTCATTGATATTTGGTCGCCTGACATTATTTTTTAGAATCTGCTGCAATGGCCAGCTTCTTTTACATTGTGCCATATGAGTGTTGAAAGGACGATGCCATTACTCAGTTAAAATGGTGGGGCAGTAAATGTTCAACAGTTCAAGTATGTGATGGAAAATCTTCCCTCTCCCCTTTCCCTGTCCTAGTGTGATGTGGTGTTTGTGGCCAGTGATAAGCTGGTGATTGGAATTACTGTAGAACTGAAACCACCATTCGTGTTTGTACTTGTTCAAATACTTTGCTTTTGCTTTTAACAGGATCATAAATGTATATTGGAGATAAAGGAATTCCTGCTTAAAGTGTGCCAGGAGAAGGAGGTATTAGAAAATTTGCGATCATTCGTGGTTGAGCAAGCACATGATGTGGGTCTCTTGGTCACTCAGCGTGTCGCCAATCTTCCTCCTCAGCTTTTGCCACCCCTTTATGATGCTCTCTTTGATGAAGTCTCATGGGCAACAGAAGATGAGGTTAGATGAGAATACAATTCTGATGGGTGAGCTTGATAGATGTTTTACTTGCATGCTCCAAAAATTTTTTGGTTGTTTTTGTTGTTTTCTGGATGCAGCTTGAAATGATTTCCACCAAAAGATTACTTATTTCTCATTTTTCTGCTTTTTGAAGCCAACAGAAGAGCTCCGGAATTCATTCCGCTTTAAGTTCTATCTGCTGGTTAGTAGAATCTATAAGGTATACCCCTGTAGCATTTTACTCTTCTGTTTCCAGTTTTACTATGGGTTTCCTTGGCTCAAAGTTGGCCTTATTATCTTTTCATTTTTGATTTTGGTATGCGAGCCAATAGAATAAGAATGCAAACCAGGAAAGGAGGCCAAATAGCAGTAGTGATGAAGCAATAATATACATTAAGCCGGAAGATGAAATTTTTCACAAGGTACTAGTGCCTTGGTATTCAACATTTGCTGCATCTATTACATTGCAGATTCTGACTTTTTTTCTGCCTGCATCTCAGCTCAGTTCCTGGTCTTTCAGTTTCCCTTTGCGTACTCAGCAGGTTGCAACGCATGAGGCAAGTATTGGTGTTGTCTTACTTTCATGGTAGTTTTAGTAATTAGCTACTCTTAACCAGGTCACTACTATGTTACTCGGGCACTTAAAAGTTCTTTTTACTGAATCTTCCTGGAAAATCTTCTTTCTTGCAAGATATTTTTTCTGCATACCAGTACTGAACATGATGCTTAACTGATTCAGCACTCTTTTTCAACAAAATTTGATTATTTTTATTTGTTTTTTTAAAATCTTTTTTGGAGGTGGGGTTTGGTTTGTGAGGGTTATGAGAAGTATTATCAGAACCAGATCAGACTGATAGGTTGACCCAAAAAACCAGCTACTTTGGACCCTAAACTGGTTCGGTTTTGTTATTGGATCGTTTGTGTACTCGAACTGCCTTCAAATCGCTGAAGCCGGATGGTTTTTGATCAACCTGTGCAAACCTTTCTCCTTCTCTAGCCTTCAAGCCTCCAGCTGTCCCACCATCGATCCAGTTCCAGGGATCTCAGTCGACCTCATCTCCTTCTCTTAGTCATTTATCCAGGCATCTCAGTCGATCTCATGCCACTCGATCTCACTCTCAGCTCCAATCTCACTCTAAGGCTCTTTTCTAGTCTTTGTCTCTCTGTCCCTCTCTCTCTCTGTTTGCTTCCATTCGAATTTTTTTGTTTTTAGATAATATGTTTGATATTTTTATATGTTTTATTTGACCCACAAACATGTTTGCAAAAGTAACAAACAAAAATTATAAAACATGTTTGATATTTTTGTTTTTATTTGACTCACTGTATATAAAGTCATTTTTTTAGGGTAATTATTATGTTTTATAATTTTTTTTATAATACAACTTGTCCAATCAGTTGATTAAACGGGTTGGTGTCCGGTCCGGTTCTAATAACTATGGTTATGGGTATATTGGGGTTGGGGCAGAGGCTAGATGTGCTTTGTATTCAATGGATTTGCCGCAGGTTTAGTTTCAGGAATGTTTTTCTTAGTATTACTCCTGGGGTTTGTGTGATAATGCCTTTCTATTTTTGAGGGATAGAGCCAAGCATATGCAATTGTAAATATTTATTTACCAAAACGAAAAGATAAAATTGTAATAACCTTTACAAATTGTTATACATCAAATTACGAAGGACTAGTTGTTTGATTACCAGGGCATTCATCTGCTGTTAACGAATAACCATTTATGTATGTGATTTTCTATTTCTTTTGCCCTCAGTTCTTGACACCTAAAACATACAAAAGTAACTGACTTTTTGCAGTAGATGCATTATCTTGAATCTAATTAATGCCACTAGTATTGTCATTTGATGCATCATCGTACCATACTTTACTGCTCTGTTCATGAGATTCATGGCTTATATAGCTGAATGCTCCTCATTTGTGTGACCGATGCCTACTTGTTGCAGCTGAAAAATTATCGGTTAGTAGGTTTAGTCATGGCCATGGACGCAAATAAAGTTTCCACATTCAGGCAGCTGTTGAAATCTTTGATCAATGAAGAATGATGCCAACAGAAGGTCCACTGCTATACTCTGACAGTCACTTGGTTATTTTCTTCTAACACCTTGCAGAAATTTGGCAATAGTATCTTGCTTTTATTTGCTATTTCTCTGGAATGCCACTTTCAATCTGTTCTAATGCTTTCCATAAACAGGCATGCTGTTGGCCTTCAACCTTTTCTTGTAGAGAAGGCACAGAATATTTTCCTCCAGAGCCTGCTTCATCTCTTTAGGTTATTTTGTGGAACTTGTATACTGTAATTTAGTTATTTTGTTAGTGGACATGATTAATTAGGAATATGATAGTAAGCACATTAAGGCTGGATGCCAAAAGATTTTGTTTTGCCTCTGCGTACTGTTAATTTTCCTCAGATATGCCAAAAAATTATTGTTATTTCTGGAACTCTTGTTGAGAATCTTGAGACAACTGGTTATAGTAGAAGATTCCTTTTGGTTGGTAAGGATATCATGGTTTTGAACATATCGAGACTGCATATATTGCAAACATTTCTGATTTGCCTGCTGTTTGACAGGGGGAATGCAAAATCAGTGAAATTCTCTCGCTCTCGCTCTCTCCATGTATGTATCTCTCTTGATTCTCTCGATTTCTCAGTGAAGAGGAGACTAACCCAGGATAGCAGAAAGCCCCATTTCGGTTGTGGTTCTCAATTAGTCAGGTTAGCCTTTGCCCAGATTGGTTTTGTTTATGACAGCCATGGGGTCAGCAATATATGTATAAAGGCATTCCTTATCTCGAGAGAGTCGTTTTGAATGAAATGATATTTGGTTATTTGAGAAGTCTTCACTGACCTGGCTCACGCTTGAGGTATCATAATATTCAAGCTGGCAATGGAGTTCTTAATATTTCCTTGTTTCAATTCTTAGTTTACTAGAATTACATGCTGTTTAGTATGTTAGGATCCAGGATCCCCTTAACTGTCCTTTCTCAAGTTCTCAATGATAGATCACTGTTCATTTATTGATAAAAGACTCACTTATATAGTAAGTCTCAATTGAATTTATGACAATTGATACGAGTCAATGACATTGAGCGATCAAGGGAAAGTGATGTAGATGAGGTGACAACAGGTTAGTTGAAGAGAGAAGATCGTTATGTGTCCAAAGCGCAATGGAAGGTCAAAAAGAGATAATAGAGGTAAAATGGGTCAAACCCCGGATTAAGTAAAAATAGTGCCACTTGATCTGGATCGGTGTAATGATTAAAACTCATCGCTTTGTCACGAGCTTCTTCAGTTTTGGGCTAAATTTCATGAGGGGAATGATGATTATTTATTGGATAATGCTACAATTTTTAGAGATCCTGACCATGGCCGTGAGTCTAGGGATTTTTCAGATGAAGGTTGACTTACTCAGTTTCAATGGTCATTTTCATAGTGAAGATTTTCTTGACCGGTTGGTAGAGGTGGAGAGATTCTTCGATTATATTGACGTTCTAGAAGCAAAGAAGGTGAGGTTGGTGGCTTACAAATTGAAAGGATGGTTTCTGCTTGATGGGAACAAATCCAACTTGCTTGTACCATAGAGGGCCAGTATTTGATCCGTATCTGACTGAAGATGAAGAGATTATTCAGATCAAGTTTTTAACTTCTAGATTGGAAACAGGTCATGTTCTTGTAATATCAAGCTTGCAAACAAGGCATTATATTTGTTCAAGCATATACTGAGGAGTTTGAGTTTTATTCTCGTAATAACCTAAATAAGACTGAGTTCCATAAATTGCTTGGTTTAGTAGGAGTTTGCGTTTAGTCATTCAAGACAAAATTGTTTTTTTTTTTGACAAAAGCCATTCACTTAGTGATAGGAATCAGATTATATTTCGTTATAGTAGGTGTAAGCGTAAGGATTAGGAGTTATTTGTCATTATGCTTTTCAGGGGTTTAGTTGTCATTATGACTATTTATTTCTTTTAGATTTTTTTTAGGATTTGTGGTCTTCCTATATATATATAGGAGATATGTTATTTGTTTGGGGTAGACTTTGATTATTGATTATTGATATTGAATCTTCTTTCTAAAATTCTCTCTATTCTCATCTCCTTTTTCTTCTTTTCTCATCATTTTCTTCTTCCCTTGTTATCCCTAATTCTTCCTTAATACGATCTATATCACTTAGCCATGAGGGTAAAGACCTAGTCGGACAGGGTTGAGACCCAAGGATAGAACCAGAGCTCCTTTGATTCATCACGTCCTATAGTGAATCAAGGAAAGTAGATTGTGGGTACTCTAAACCCTTCTCAAGTTAGGGTCTAGAATCCAACAACCGTGGGGCATCTATAAGGGTAGTATCCTCGGGTTTGAGTTATGTTCCAGTAGTCAATGAGGCGCCGAAGAATCCCTATGCTATAATTGTAATCTGGTCAGCCAGGGCTTTGGTCTAATCAATACCCTAAGAGGGGCACAATAATCTGGTTGATGCTGAGGAAGCTGATCGAGATGAGAGCAACTAGGTGGAGGATGAGGTTTTCGAGAATGAGGATAAGGGGATCTCCCTTGTTGTTCATTGACTGATGTACACTCCTAAGATGGAGTAGGACATTCAGAGGCAAAATTTCTTCAAAACCACATGTACAATGAACTAGAGGGTTTTTCAATTGATTACTGGTGGCTATAGCAGTGAGAATATTGTCTTGGGAGATGGTTGACTAGCTAGTTACGGACTGAAAACACCCTTCTCCTTATACTATCTGGTGGATTAAGAACGTTGACGAAACTACGGTAATAGAACCGTATTTTATCCTACTTTTCAATTGGCAAGCATAAAGATGATATTGTGTGTAATATTGTGGTCATGGATGTGTGCCACATTCTGTTGGGAAGACCATGACAGTATGACCCAAATGTTGCTTATAGTAAGAGAGTACTTCCGTAGCACCCCAGGCTAAGGCGGTCCTTTTTTTGTTGTCCCTACCAGTGACGAGAATGTGAAGAATAGTGAAGTATATGCGCAGGTCATGAAGGGTGAAGAGGAGCAGAAAGTCGAGTCTAAACCAGTCCCCAACTTGTTGATGTCGTTGTTAGTCGAATTTCAGGGTGTCATGCCGGAGGAGTTACCAGATGGATTTCCCCCTCTGAGATACATTCTACATCATATTGATTTGGTGCTTAAAGCTAGTTTGCCAAACCTGTCCCATTATTAGATTAGTCCCAAGGAGTTCAAGATATTTCAGAGTCAAGTTGATGCATTGTTGTGAAAAGAGCAGATTAGGATGAGATAAGCCCTTGTGTTGTTCTTACTCTACTCACTCCTACGAAGGATGGTAGTTGGAGGATGTGTCTAAATAGTTGAACAATTAATAAGATCAGTATGAAGAATCGATATCCTATACCCTAATTGGATGATATGTTAGTCATGTTGAAGGGTGCAAAGGTATTCTAAAGCTTGATTTGAAGAATGAGTATCACTAGATCCGTATTCATCGAGGTGATGAGTGGAAAACGACCTTTAAGACAAGGAAAGGGTTGTATAAGTGGTTGCTTATGCATTTCGATTTGTCTAATGCCCCCAACACTTATAAGGGTTATGAATCAACTGTTTAAGCCTTTTGAAAAATTGGTGGTTATTTACTTTGATGATATTCTAATTTACAGCATCAATGAAATTGACCATTTGCAAGATTTGAGGGCAGTTTTTTCAACTTCGCAGGAGAATAGCCTGTTTGTGGAACTTCAAGAAGTGTTGCTTTATGACAGATAGTGTGGTGTTCTTAGGGTATGTAGCCAGTGCAACGGGAATTTCAATGGATGTTGAGAATTTAGGAGTTGCCTACACCATGGATAGTTAGTGAGCTTTACAACTTTCATGGCCTTGCAACCTCTAATCGAAGGTTTGTGAGGAATTTCAACGCTATTGCGACACCTTTTTACTTATTGTCTAAAACATAAACAGTTGCAGTGGACTAATGAGGCAACAAAGAGTTTTTAGCTATTTGAGGAGAAGCTTACCACATCTCTTGTGCTAGTGTTGCCTAGTATCAAGAAGTTATGTAACGTGGATTGTGACGTCTTTTGCACTGGTATTGAAGCAGTGTTGTCACAGGAGGCGAGGTAGAAGTGGTTTACCTATGAACAGGAGTTCCATGTGATTGTCAGAGCTTTACAACACTAGTAAAATAACTTGATTCAGAGGGTGTTCATTCTGAATACAGACCACTATGCAGTAATGTACCTCAACAGTTCTACTATTCCCAATCAAATGCATACTCGATTGTTTGATGTAATTCAAAACTTTACTTTCACCCTTGAGCATAAGTTAGGCTAGTTGAACACGCAGGAGGATGCACTAATCCAACGTATTATGTTATTGACCATTGTTTGTAGTGAGGTGATTGACTTTGACTATTTGAAGGAATTGTATGCATTGTACGAGAACTTCAAGCAAGTTTGGTCTCAGTACTCAGATACACATGGTGTCTTGGGGATTTCTCCGAGGATCCTTATGTGAGCATCTCAGTTGGGAGCTTCGTAGTGGTGGCCTAGAGAGACACATGGGTAGGGATAGAAGTATTGTTTTGGTGGAAGAGCGTTATTTTTGGCCTAAACTAAAGAGGGATGTGGAGAAGTTTGTTAAGCAATGCTACACGTGTCAGATTGCTAACAAATAGCCACAGAATACTGGGCTCTACATTTCCCTACCCTTTCCATACGTACCTTGGGAGGATTTGTCCATGGACTTTGTGTTGAGGGATTTGTCCATGGACTTTGTGTTGAGTCTTCCACGAACTCAACGGGGTATAGATTCTAAGAGAAATTGTGAAAAGGTACATAAAATTAGACTTAATTATCAAAAAAGTGCACAATTTTTAATGTTAGGTCATTAAGTCCTTGTTTTAAGAATTTAATTGTGTTGAAGTACACAATTTGCCTTTTTTATGATTTTTTTTTGACATATTTGCCCTCCTTTAAATCATCCACATTTCTTTTGGTAGTTAATTTGATTTTCCCCACCTTTATTTATCTCCACAAACTGTTTATCTCTCTCCAATATATGTAGTAATATCTATATGAGTTATAATAAAACAAAAACTTAAAATTTAGGAAAATCAAAACCTATAATAAATCTTCTCCATTTTTTAGGGATATATATAATACTACGAAGTCAAACTATGAAACTTAGTTTTTATTATTCTTATACTGTTTTGATATACTTTAAAGGGTTTATGAAATTAAAGTGTATTAAAACAATGTAGGAGTAATAGAAACTAGGGTTTAAGAATTACACAAATTTAAAGTGTATCAATACAGTGTATCACAATAGTGTAAGAGTAATAAAAACTAGGTTTCATAGTATGATTTCGTAGTATTATATATATGTGTGTGTGTGTGTGTGTGTATATTTATATATATATAAACATTAACATATATAGATTCGTAATCAAATTAAATTTAAAATCAAAATTTTTTAATTTTAGTACTTTCTAAGATAAGATAATTAAAATTTTTTTATTTTAGTTGTCAAATTTCAAAAATTGCCAAAAACTTTGAAACATCTTTAAAAAAATGGAGAAAATTTATTATGGGTTTTGATTTTCCTAAATTTTAGGTTTTTGTTTTATTAGAACTCATATATATATATATATATATATATATATATATATATATATATATATATATAGTTGTGCGATTATGGAGACTTTGCACCATATCCTTTAGTGGGTATTTTTTTATGTAGACTGTTAGATCACGATCTAACAGTTACTAGGCAAAGTTGCTCAAAATTAATTATACAGACCTACCAAATTTAGTTCTTCACTA